ATTATTTGTAGATATACAAATACTTGTTCCGTGCGGGATTCAAACCCGCGACCCCTGGGACAGCCACTCATTGCCAAGCCACTGCGCCACGGAGCCGTCGTCTAAAATAAAATAAATTCGTCCGCACATTGGCCCGAACCGAAGTAAGAACGACTTTCCAACGTGTGGATGCCGTCACCAACTCTCGGCCAATATATTCGCCACTACATTCGCCACTGTGTTGGCCAACGTGTAGAGGCGACAAAAGACTAATGATTAATTTGATGTGATCTTTAGCACAGATGTCACTGACAGTCATACCAACGTAGAAAAACAAAAATTTCGACGAATGGATTTTCACGCGAAATTAAAATTAAAAAGTCTTACTATTTTTTGCCCGCGGTATAAGCGTAATGGAGCTAGACAATATTTTTTTATAGAATAAGAGTGGTAAACGAGCACACCGTCCACCTGATGGTAAGTAAAAGCTGTGTCCCATAGACATCTATATTGATCCTCGATTAAGAATCAAAACGCAGATGGCGTCATCATCCCTAAGGACTCAGATGGAATGTCTCGTTTCCAGTAAAAAAGGTCTCCAGTTCTCTAAACTCACCATACGAAACACAGTAGCTTTGAGCTGCTATTATACGTTGGTATTCCGTGAGAGAATGGTCTTTCTTTGGTCGAGCCAACCCGTTCGTACTATAACCATAATATGGACTCATTGTGGCTCTACCACGTATAAACACACAACTGCAGGCTCTGATGATTTCGTCTTGATGCTCACGAGCCTCGAGATGTCTATGGGCTGTACTACCATCAGGTGGACCGTTATCTTGTTTATCATTCCAATTTCTATATAATTCAAGTATACATAGGCATTTTCTAAAATATTATATTGAATAAGGATCATTCTCATCTATTCTACAAAAAACTTATAATAATTTTTTTTACAGTCCTGAAGAAGCCACCGCTCCTTTACTTCCGTTTTTAGTCGAATACATACTGTGTTTGCCTAAATCCATTAAGCCACCTTTATACATTACTAAAGCACTGTGGCTAGTTTTTGCTGTAAATATTATTTAAACTTATTTTTCTATTCTAATATTGAAAATTTTAGATCTTTCGATTAATTTTGTCAAATTTCGCTGTTGTTTGAGGATTGCTTTCAAGCTTGATATTGTACTTGACTCTAAAAACAAGAAAAAAACATTTAAATCTGAATTTGAATATTAATTAGAAAAAAAACCCCTTCGTATAAATTTAATAAGGGTTAGACACCGTAAAAGGGCTGTTTTCTATTATGTAAAATAATCAAATTCACCGATGGAATTGCGTGTGACAAGTATGGTAATGTACTGAACACGAAATTACTAACCGGTATTACACAAAGTTTGAGCTATAGTAAGAGATCACACATAAGAATACAATAATGTATTCTGCCTATACCATCTGACATTCCGTAATATTAAACTGCCCACGGCTCGCAAGCTTCACCAAAGACGGTGTTTCAGGTGCTTTGAAAGGCTTTATCGACAATGTACTTTGATTTCAAAAAATCAATTTGAATAAAAAGTAAAAGGTCAAAGAACTTCAAATAATAAAATAATTTCCACCTAACCTTCAGAAGTCGATACAAATATATGGTGACTAAAAAGTGAAAGTAAAACATATACTGTGTAGAATTGTTATACGGAAAAGTTTCATCCGTGAAAATTTTCACACCCTTATGAGTAGAACTTTTTCTCTAAATTTATATGAAACCATCCCTGTAGTACTACCTATTTAATAAATAATCGGTTCACTATTGACAAAGATATTCCATATTCCATACATATAAAAGCGAACATGTAGTTGAATTGAGAACTTTTTTGAAGTTTGCTAAAAAGTATTGAATGAGAATTTGAAAATATAAATAAAAATAACTAACTATAGCCAACCAAATCTAAGAAATACCTTTGACGTTTCACATTAATTATTGCGCAATATCTTTGCTCTATGTACTCATCTATCTATTTATGCTATTTGTACTCACACGATTTAAAATAACTTTTTACGTAAATCCGAAGAATTATGAAGTTATCTATATTTCATTACAACGTGTTTACTTTTTTATCACTGATTTAAATTAGAATCTTTCAAACAAAGCAAATTATTAAAAAAATAAGCAGTATCAACTTTTTTACTTGACGTCGTTTCAACGATATGTCGCTATGTGCCTTACCGTAGTATTTGGATGATTAAAATTCATTGCTAACCGAATAATCGGCAAAAATATTCAAATAATCGTTAAAAATATTCAAATAATCGAATCATTAATTTTTAATGTAATATTTGTTTAATTAATTTTTAATTTTTAAAATTCCTTAAATTACTTGAATCTTGAATAAAAAAGTTTATTTTTTACTTTGTCAACGTAAATTTGTGTATATCATAATATATCATATCACATATCATATCATCATATAACATATCTGTCAAATGTTTCAGCTTCCCTCTACCGCCTCTTCCAACACCCCACTGGACAATATGGGGCAGTGTATATTCTTACCAAATTCTTACACACCGCCACACTACGTCTACACCGTCATCTAAAATTAATGTTTGTTTGTTCGTATTGTATGCGTTGCCATACCGTTCATCAGATTACGATAATACTTTGTCAACTTATCGCTTTCACTTGCGCGAAGGTTATAGGCATAGTACGATTCACTTACAGTAGCGTATCGTACCGACAAATTTATTTGAAAGTCATATGTCATTCAATTTCAAACGATATTTGCACAATATTTTTCTGCGGCAGCAATGTGCCGGGTACCAACTAGTAGCTTATAAAAATATTTTGTAATTATATATTTGTCACTAAAATAGATGTCTGCAATATCAAATGGGTCTCTGCAATCATTAGAAGAGAGAGTATACTTAGAGAAAGCTACGGATCGCCTAATATCGTTATTACATCCAGAACCATACATATTATATACACATAATCCTGCTATCCTGTTATGGGCGTTCTCATCACATAGAATACCTCATTATGTCCGATTACAAGTTGTAAGTATTTACTTTTAGAAGAAATAATTAAATTTACCACTTCTAAGTAGCTCTACTTCCTTCTTTGTTCTTTATTAGCACGTTACTTTGAACACGTGCCTCTCCTATAATATGGAGGATTTACCGTATTCGCCAAGCTTGACAGGTAGAGGGGCGTCGCAACACCAGAAGTTTTGCAGCTTTCATGCTGCTCTCCATCACCGGTCTTTATATATGTATACGTTTGGTGTATATTCATTTGATATATATGCGATATGGTTATGCCATTATCAATTGGGGACTTTGAGGTCTTTCTGGTTTTTTTCCATAGACAAAGTTTACGCCACCCATGGCATGACATTATAGGGTGATGCATTCTCTACACCACTATTATAACATATGCCTCGTTGGTCTAGTGGTGGTAGTAGTGTGACTGCTCATCATGAGGTCCTGGGTTAGAATCCCAGGTTGGACCAAAAATCAATTATTGAGTTTTTCCGTCAAGAAATTCTCAGTAGCTGCCCGGCGTCAGGAAGTTGGCGGTGTCTCACCCCTCGGAAAGCATGTAAGCCGTTAGTTCTGCGCCTGATCTCTCACCGTTCGTGTTGGTTTACCGTCCCATTGGATTATAAGAGTGAGGGAATAGAGAGTGCACCTGTGCTTGCGCCTACACTTGGGCACTATAATCCTGTCCTGTGCCGATGCCTAGTCTCCGTTGAGTCAGGCCGCCGTAACCGAAATCGGTCTGGAGGACATTATTATTATTATAATATTACTTTTATCCATTATTTAAATAAAATACTAAAAAAATAATCTTTATTATTTTTAAATAAAACTATCGGTAAATCCCAAATTTAATAGGTAATTTTTTTAAAGTATTTTAAATACACACAAGTTTTCACAATCACCATGCGGACTTGATGTATCTACACCATAAGCCACTAAAACCACTTTTTTAATGTAAAAATAGTAATTAATCGATTATCTTTCTGAAAATGTTAATTATAAATTGTTATTTGGTTTAAGTCTTTATGAGTAATTATTTGTTGTCCTGAATATAAAAAGATAAAATATAAAAATCTTTATTATTACAATATTTGATAACATTTTCTGCTGAATTTTGTTGTTAATTATTTTATATTTCCATTACTGTTGGAAAACCTGTGAAAATTTCACTGCTTAACTTAGGCCTCCACCATAGGTTGCCGCATGGCATACTTGCCATAGTTGCCACGTACGGCAGACGGATTGACAGCTGCAGATTTATTAGTAGACGCTGCTGCTCATCTTCTGTTTTGTTTCTCTGCCGCTTCTTACGATTCCCGCGGGACGAATTGGCTTAGAGGACATTCTTCCATCGCCACTGCACGGTCAGTTGTAGTTATAGTTGTTTATATTGAAATAATTTAATTTAAGAAGCATGTCGTCGATCCTTTGGGCTATGTCGGTTACTCTGGTTCTACTGAGGATATTTACATAAAGAATTTTATCAAGCAAAAACCTCCTAGCATAAACCTCTCCATAACCCAACGTATCAGCAGTCTTAATGGGTCGGCAATACGCATTGGGGCAGTGCGGTGGACTTTCTTACTCTTAAATTCATTTAGCAATAGGCCCGTGCCATGCAATGAGACATATTATGTACACTGGTTGTTCTTTTTTTAAATAGAATCAAAGCTTTTTTTAAAAAAAAACTGTATTTAAATTTATCTTAAATAGTGGAATAATATTCTAAAATTGAAGAGATGACTGAGTGATGGTTCAGAAATTAAGATGTAAAGTTAAATCATATCATACAACTATGTGAACTAAGTAAAACTACTTTGTTTTAAAGGTTTTATTTTGTTATTTAATGTGCTTATGACTATGGACTCTGAAAGTCACGTATAATGTTGGAAATTTAAAATAAATTAAACTAAACGCGATAAGACGTAAAATTAGTTTCGTTCAATATTATATACTTAAAACAAAATTTAAAATTTTAGTTATCACAATGGCTCAAAGCAGAAGATTCATTGCCCGAAGACTTGGCAAAGGAATTTGAGGTCTGGGAGCTTTTGCTCAACGTTCTTGTTAAATGCACGGAAAATACAATCATTCATAATTGTATGGAGGCGCTCAAGTTGTGCTTAGAAGAAGCGGACTATGAATCAAAACAGGTCTTTGCAACTACGATTTGGTCGAAGCTGCCTGAAGTTCTGTCCAAAGCGTTGATTGACTATAATTTTGAAATTGGTAAGTTTATAATATTTTTCATCCTAATAATTTAAGTATTTTTAGTAAACAGTGGTGTAGCTCGGATTTCTGCTGCCCGTAGCGGCTAATGCCAAAACTGACTCCCCAAAGCGCATAATTTTCGAAGAATCGTAAAAAATATAAAATCGGTGGAAGTGTTTTACATAGTAAATTATTAAAGTTTAGTCTATTTTTATTTAAAAATAATATGATTGCAATAGATTTTTTTAAATTATTTTTAGATTATAAATAATATTTACTAAAATCATTTTTTTCGTGTTCGTGTATTATGTTATTTCTATTTCTCTGTTTAGGAGGCAATACTGTCTTGAAACACTCACGGGTTTGTTGCGCCAATCCCTTTCCAAACTTTTGTTCAATTCAAGGCAAGTGTCCTAATGGCCCACGGGTTTTTATAAAACTAAGTACAAAAATCGTATAAGTAATAGCTTTATATAAACCAGCCCATTTCCAGGGTTGTTATCATCCATAAATTCTTTAATATTATAATTACACTTTTTCACATTGTCACATGAGTGTCAAAAACAGTTCAAACTTATTTCTTTTGAGTTACTCATTCCACGAGTATGTACTCACAGGTAGTATTTATTGATTCCATGAATTTCGCCAAAGACATGTGACACAGCAGATGGGCAGCAGCATTTTCCTGGTAACAACATAATACACATTGACGGCTCCGTGGCGCAGTGGTTTAGCATTAAGTTGCGGCGCTGACGGTCGCGGGTTCAAATCCCGCACGGAAGAAGTTCAAGTCCTCTACAAATGATTGTTCCGGGTCTGAATGATTGTCCTTGAGTAATTTGTGTTTGTAAACTGCCTCCATTATACAGGAGAAAATCCTAGTGTGGGAGTAATGTTTTCTAAAGAAAAATAGTAATAAAAATTGTGGTTGCCAACCGGCTTACCTAGCGTGGCAAATATTCGTGCTGTGGGAGAGGTCTATGTTCAGCCATTGGCTTGTGATAAACTGTAATGAATAAAAAGATGATGAATGTAAAAATGTCCAAAAAGCTTGGTGACATTATGTATAAACCGATTTTTTTTCTAATTATTCGTTATTTTAGGAACAAATATATGTTATTTAATGGATATTGCTACAAATCTATTACCTACTGAATTAGACCAGACTATTTGTCTCAAAACAGCCGTTGTACTAACGGTACTTTTTTCAAAAAGCAATCTAGAAGCCACGTATGAATCGATTGAAACAAGGAATCATTATGAGTACGTGTGCTTGAAATTGTGCTTCGTTTTATTATGCCTAGCTCATGACAAAAACGACAATAGAGGTAAGAAATGAGACTTATAGGTGTGATTTAAGGATAAATTAAAAAAAAGTATGATAAACTATGAATGTTCTTGAAGAGAAAAATCTCAAGGAAGGCACTTTGCTAATTAAAAAAGAACAAGCGTTGCTTTATTCATCACTGCAACACAACGTACACTAAATACTTGAACGAAACGGTTTAAAATACTAGTAAACATTGTTAATTGTTAAGAAATAATGGTATTATACCAAAAAGGTTTCAGACCGTAATTACTATCGTTAAAACCCGGAACATATGTTCAACGAATTATTTTTGAAATTTATTAAATACTTTTTCGAATAATCAATGTTAATTATTTTTTGGAAATGATATATATTTTCTACAATGCAAGATGTACGTGTACTCGCGCATGTACGTTTACGTATTAATTATTGCAATGTATCTCAGTAAAATATGAAACGGATGTTTGGAGCAAAAATTTTATGAGCGTCTTCTTAGATGTCTTTACAGATAATATAACGGTCTGAAAGTTTTGTGTTATAATACATTTAACCATATTATATATAAATACATTGAGTTGCGGTTATTACAGCATTATGCTTCGTTAAAAAAGCATTCAACGAAGCATAAAGCTGTAACAGTGTTTCCACAGCCATGGTGATTAACGTTTTGGGTTGTGGAAACAGATCAATGCTATATAATAGGATTGGGAGGCATCATCAGAAGATATTTTTATGAAGAAATGACACTTGAACTTACAGTTCACCTGTCGTCACAACTGCAACCAATTTGAAGAAAAAAAGGTTACACATGCGTTGTCACTTTTAAGGACTTTGATGGGATGCCATAAAGCCTATAATTATGTCTGTCTATTACCTTTAGACCAGACCACAGCGGTGCAAGCATTGCTGTTCGACAGGTAACAGCTAGGTAAGAAGGTGGTAACTATCCAGATGGACTCCCAGGCAGAAAATAAATCTATCGGCTCTGATATTGAACAGTGAGTCCAAATTTACTCGGGCCAGCATGGTTAGTATGAGCTAATCCTGCTAGGTTGCATACTGGTTCCACGGATCGAAAATCCAGTAATAATAATAATGTCCTCCAGACCGAATTTCGGCCACGGCGTCCTGCCCCAACGGAGGCTAGCCATCGGCACAGAGGTTTATGTGCCCAATATGCGCAAACAGGTGCACTCTCTATTCCCTCACTCTCATAATCCGATTGGAAGGTAAACCGACACGACCGGAGAGAGATCAGGCGCAGGACCAACGGCTTTACGTGCTTTCCGAGGCACTGGGGTGAGACACCGCCAACTTCCTGACTCCGGGCAACTACTGAGAATTTCTTGACGGAAAAACTCAATAATTAATTTTATGGCCCGACCCGGGATTCGAACCCAGGACCTCATGATCAGCAGTCGCACTACTACAACCACTAGACCAACGAGGCAGGTGATGTGTATTAACAGGTCATGTCACGTTCTAAGTACTGAAAGGACAATGCACCAACAGCTCTTAACTTTTTCTTCTTCAGCAGCTAGTAAACGACCACTGCTGGGCATAAGCCTCTACCTTTGGGAAGTTTTGTCTTGATTGCCACACTTGGTAAGCGGTTGCCGGTCTGGTTATTTTCCATCAATCAGAAGCCATGAGACCTTTCTGGGATTTTATCGTAGTTGTCTCTTACCATATTCAAGGGACGAAATGGGGTGATAAATTCAGCCACGCAGCAGTGACACGGCTTTACCACGTTCTTTAACTACCTGGGAAAAGCCCATATCCGATAATGAGTTGTTTATGGTATTACAAAGGATAATAATGAGTTTCAGCTCACAATTTTTTTTTGAATTTTATATATATATATATATATATATGCTAGCTTACCAGGCAGACGTTGTTTTACCCTTTTTGATGACCCTTTGTCATGTCCTATTAAAAATCCTTGAATTCGAAAAAAAAATTGTGAGTCACTCATGGGCAAAAGAACTATCCTATCTCTCAAGTTGGACCAAACTGCACACGGTGTGGAAATTTGATTAAGATCGGTTATGTATTTTAGGAGTCCATTGCGGACAAACAACGTGACACATAATTTATATATATGATTTAATATTTATATATTATACTAACGTAAATGATGATAGATGTTTCGTGTGGCGAGTGTAGATAACCGGAGACCTTTTGTACTGAAAACGAGGCATTCCATCTTAGTACTTAGGGTTGACAAATCATCTGCATTTTGAAGCAAAGCAAGGTTCACAGCTGAACATACGCCAAAAATACAATACTTAAATAGTCAAGCAAATGATGAAATGAGCGTTTCTATCGTAATACCAGAATTATCAGCTCTTTGTTTAATACTGCGGCATTGCGTAGAGCTAAAACTATTTCAGTGGCTCTTACTCGCTCACATACAAATGATGGGACATTTCTTAAACCACCCTACGTGTAATCGACTTTTAATTCATGTGATGTAAATAGTTTCACTGATTATCTCTTTCTTTATATCTCACTACATGTTTGTTAACATTTTAGTATTATTGACGTACACAAATCGCGAAGGGTTTCTACAAGGCGTCCTTTTAGCCACAAACCACGTAGACGACCGCGTCGCGTGCGCTGCTTTGGAACTACTGTGTTACGTAGTGCGTTTCTTCGCTAGGAACAACTACCAGGTTAGAAGTTTAGTTTATTGCTCAAATAACCCACATATCTTAAAGCTAGTGAGTAACATAAACTATATAAAACGTAACGGCATCACGAAATCAAACATTAAACGGTTGTGGTTTTATAATCGATGGTGTCACGGTAGTACTGTGTACGAGTACTCGTACGTGTACTCGTATAGACGCAATTTCTATTTTAGTTGGATTCGTTACATAAATAATTGAAACTACTCCAAATTATGAAATATTAATAATATACCATATAAATAATTGTTTAAATTACTTATATGTTATGTTGTGTATTTTTAGGAATATATTATGTTTAGGAAACTAAAATTTTGAAATATAAATTATGAAAAAAATTAGACAGACTAAGATAGACTAAGACTATTTCAATTAACTTATATCTAACTAATGAGCAATTTATATTGCCGCCCGAAATTGCTAGAATCCAAAGTGTGTTGTTGTGTTTGTGGATTTTTTTTAATTAAATTATTAAAGAGTTGTAAGCAGAACTGTGCATGCTATCTCTAAGTACCAACCTTATCCCGCGTGTGAATGTTTTTTAAATTGTATGGACTCGTGACGGAGAGCAGCATTACTAGTATCAAAAGTATTGGACCTTAGACCATTTCAGATGAAATCTTTTTGCCAGCTTGCAGATTCTTGAAAAAGATCTATGTCCTGATGTTAAGTACAAATTCTGTCAAGGATGTTAATAATTACTAATTGGGTATTTATATAGTTTTACTCGTCTGGTTGGGATGAATAAATTTAACAGTGATAAAAAAGATATGGTTAATATAATACCATACATAAAATATAGTAAAATAAGCGATCATATAAATAAAACAACAACCAGATGGAAGAGTTATTGATGAATTATTATTATTTATTATGTCAATTTTGCATGAGATATACATATACATATATTAATATAATATTCTTAGTAGATAGTAATCTAAAGCTATTTAATAATGATAGATGTACGTGTCTCTATCTATGCTCTCTATCTATCTATATTATATCTATCTTATATTATAGCTTTATATCTCATCTGAATTTTTATTCATACTTGAAAATAGTCGTGAGTGTCTATGAGCCACAGAATCAACTTACCATCCCACTTACTTACCTATCCTTACTCCTATATAAAAAACGGAGATTTTAGTAGGTTTCGAGTGTCATTGAGTACGCGAAAACAGTAGTTACAGAAAGTAAGAAACATTATATTCTAATCATATGCATATATGACAGCGTATACCGTACAACATACAATACCTACCTTATGTTTTTATAAGTTTCGAGAATAATTTTACAATTTAAATATGGTATTCAAAATTTAAAATTTGGAAAATTAAATAAAATTTGGAAATGAAACGTGTTAGTAGTATATTTTAAATATCGCATTTTAATGTTTATATTTAGAACTTAGTGGTAAATAATATAAACTCTTTGTAATTTTTTAATTATTTGTGTAAAGGGCGTTAACGAAACATTCGTTAGTTTGGGTGATCGTCATTTTCCATTTTTTGAAGACGTGAAAATGTCAAGGCAAAGGATTTTAATGTATTATGAAGTTTAGGAGTGAACTGGAACTTTTTTAATTAATATTTTATAATGATATATTATGGAGGCATGTTCTGTCGAAGACTGTCAGTTTGATGTGACCTATAACATATTTAAATTGACAAAACTCTTTTCTCTCCAACTGATCCTCCGGACTAATATGTTACGGATATCTGTAAATATGGGTTCATTATTTGAACGAGTGTATCCTACTCTAAAAATCCTTTGCACTTACGAATAGTTATTCGTGGTCAAGGTCTTTGAAAAAAGTACCAAGAACGTTAATTTGTTACATAAAAATATATTATTTATATTTTTTTAATGTTTTGTTTAACTTTGTCTCAAAATTTATAAACATAGGTTTATTTATAAACAAAATTTATAACAAAATTTATAAACATAGGTAGTACTATTTGAAAAATTAGGTTTTTTAAAAAGTTATATTGATGTCTTAGCCAAAAACAATACTGCAAGTTCAAGCGGAATTGGTGATAAAGGCCCTACGTAAAGACAGTACAAGCGAACGTGGCGTTCTGCTTTTGAATTTTATATACAGAATATTGAATTCAGGTGTAAATACACCACTTGCTTTTTCCGATGACGTCAAAACTATACCTTCAGAATCACAGCAGTGTGTTGCCTTACGAGCTTTGATGTTTAGGATACAACTTACGCTATGTTGTAAGGTGAGTTGCTTTTTGATTCAAAATTGTTATCTTTGTATCTTTTGTAATTTGTATCTTACTTTCCTCCTCATCGCAACTCACTTCAATCCGCTCTTGGCTTCTCAATACCATCATTCGAATAGCGTCACATGACATTTGGGCGTTATATTGCTCTCATCCTAAAAGTGATTTTAAGGAAGTCATAAATCTAAAAAAAATCTTGAAATTATATGTAGTATTAAATAATTATGTGTAAGTAAGTATTAAATAGTATGTCGTAATCGCATATATGTGTTGAAAAATCACAAAAAAACTCATAGATATCTACGGAAACAGTTTCTTTCCGAATACAACACATGTGACCGCGACCACGAAATCTTAGCCATAAATATTGAAAATTCTGACAAGTGCATAAGTACTTATGCGAACTTTTTTAATATGTTTAAAAACGCAAATTACGGGTGAGTGCAAAAACGTTCTAAGAGGATTCTTTAGTCATGTCAAATAATACGAAAAGCAATATTTAAAAAAAAGTGAGAAAAACTCTTGTTTGCATTATTTAGACTAAATTCTATAATCGTTTTTTAAATGTGCAGGATTCTGAAAACCAATCGGCAGCTGGATGGAAAACTTTAAGTTCCATTTTCAAACATGCAGTCGTGTACAAAAGGGACTCAAAGTTAGCCGCAATACTCGCATCCCAACCGTGGACACACACACTCATAAGGTTCCAAATAACCCAGAACGTCACAAGAGAATTCCTAACCTTCGCACACGGATGGTTAACACTTTTGGAAATGATAATACGGAAGAGCCAGGAAGGTCGGAAACGTTACATGTCTAAATATAATCCTGTAACTAAAACACTGATATTAATTAAAAATAATTTAGATGTTGAGGATGAATTAAAGGAGTTAAAACAGGAGATCATTCAGATAATTGATAATATAGCTGAGATGACCAGTATTACATTGAAATAACAGCGTTTTAATAAGGGAAATATAAATAATTTATGAGAAGATTTTTTCCAAATATAATTTTTAATATTGTATGTAATGAACGAAATAATAAAATAAATAAAAGATTTCTAATAAATGAGCAAAAATAAGATATTTTAAGTTTATTTTATATATGTATGTGTTTTTTTCATGTGTTTTTTTTTTAGTTTTAAATTAAACTAATAAAGACTAGGTACACAAAGGTTTATTTATGGACTACGTGACTATAAAAATAACTAACTAATAAAAAGTGTAAGCTCTAGGCAGAAAATGATCATATAATCTTTCAGTTTTAATACGTAATAAACTGTTAATCTGATCATATGGGCTTAACTAATTTAAAAACAAATGGACTGTAAATAATATGAAATTGTTATTAAAATTAAATAAGTTCAAACTTAATAAGTTAATATCTGCATAATAAAATGAAATATCTTAGCTAGTTTGGAAAGCACCTCACGCCCTCTCTCAATTGCTTGCACCATCTTCGTCATCACTTATTCCAACATCGGCTGAAATTAGATTCTGCGGAGACTGACTGCTAAGGGAGCGCGAGGCGCTCTACTAACTTAGTGAATGGATTTCCGCAGACTAAACCCTGATTGTATTAATTACAATTAAAAGTTCTGGACAACGTAGTTGCGGTGTAAGAAAATCTACTACCCCATATCGTCCCGTGGGTATCATTAATACTAACAAATTGAAAAAATTTAGAAGGGTGGCAATAGTGTCTTCCTGCTTACATCAATATAATATTACAAAGGAACAGTATGTAATGATTATGAAAGACAATTAAAATTTTAGACTCTTGACAACTAAGTCTGATAGATGTGTTGGGTTTGAATACAAAATTACTTTTAGATCAACCTTGTCTAGCACACACAGGCCCTGATAGGTCATAGATCTACATATTCACAAATTAATATATTTTCAAGCATAATTTGGATATTAACTCAAATCTTAAATTGAGATTTACGATTATTTCCTTCACCGCAGTTAATTATTTTTATTCCTCCGACGGGGAACAACTCTTAGTTCGGATTGCTCTCGAAATTCAATTCGAGCGTACTTTGAACAATCACCACACCTTGTTAACAATAAAAACAAAGTTACGAAAACATAGAGCGTTAACTGCAACAGTTAAAAGTTACAATGGTTACAATTGTTGTTAGCGGAACCCATACATAGTTCTAATTAACTTTCTATTAAATCGATTGCCCAAAATATTCGGTCACTTTCCATGCGTTTTACATTCCAAAGGACGAGAGAAATTATAGCAGCACACACCTATAAGCGCAGGGGCACCTTGCTTTGAATAAAAATGAGAGTGGAAAGCAAGGACAATACTTGATAATAATAATTTATTTTTACCGATAGATGCTTTTTTGTCTATGTATGATATGATATATAGCTAATATCTATACCAGGCCACTTGTAGTGGCGTCACAGAATCTTATTATAAATTCTCCCGTCTGAGGAGAAAACATTGACGAAGGAAAATATTGGCAATAATTTGTAACACGTGGGAAATAACCGAACCTCAAAGGTACAGACTAGCTAAGGCTTTAGTGAAATGAAATTTGCGATCCCGATACTATGCGAAAAATCTGATAAAAGTTAATGATAAATTATGAATTCATGTTTTATTCGTAGTAGAGTCATGCTGCTCTATATTATAGTTTAAAACACGAACGGGTCGGCTCGACCGGGGAAGGTCCAACTTCCCACAGATTACCAGCATGAAATAGTAGCTTAATGCTATTGTCTTATGTGAGTATAGACAACCGTAGATCTTTTTTCTTCCTTTCTTATTGCATCCTAGTTCTCAAGGTTGACAACGCACCAGCATTTTGATTCTTACTCGAGGAAAGATGTTAAATATCTTTGGACCACAGCATCTACTTACCATAAGGTGGACTGTTTGCTCGTTTATCAACCTTCTTCTATATAAAAAAAAGTTATTGCGTGATCGGTACGCTTATAAAGCCTAATACTGGCAAGCAAACTGTAATGGTGGTGAGCTAATAGGATTTGTAGTAAATTGACGAATACACATGACTCAGGAACGTGCTTTGTGGAATTTTATGAGTATTGCCTACGTTGAGTGGTGGCCTTTTGATTGGAAAATTGGGATAATGATGACGTTTTTCTTGCAGTTATATAGATTGTACTTTAATCAAATGTAAGTAAAAATTACATAGGAACGTAAAAGTACTGTTTTTGAATCTGAACTGACAAACGAAGTTATAGTACACCTGATCTATCCGGTCCATGCCAGCTGCAGCCAACTATATACAAAGAACGCTACAGGCGCGTTGTTAGTCGAAGTGTTGTTATTATGTTTAATGTCTAGAAAATTGTTTCATCTTAAATTGAGAGGCGAAAAAGCGTTTAGATTGGAGAGGGTAACTTTGTCAAATAGTACCACTATAGCCTAATATAACTTTAATAATTTAGCCATATTTATATTTCTGCATAATTTAAGAACGACACCTTCAGGTTTTGCTTTCAGATGTATTTATCTGTGGTGAATAATGTGATTGAAGAGAAAGTAATTTTAGAAAAAGCCCTTTGGTTTCAAAAGTTATGCAACTTTATTTTAAGATTATCATGCTCGTAATTATTGTTTAATTTTGTTTTTTTTTTAGTTAAACAAAACAAAATTAAACAGCCATTTACATCACATGATAGATGATGAGATTAAAAAATAGATAGAGTTGAACAATTGATATTTTCAAAAGAGTTTAAAAGCCAAAGCCACTTAAACCACTTTTTTAATGTAAAAATAGCAGTTAATCCACTTGAAAGAAATAATAATAAGTTTAACAATCATTTATCTTTCATCATTATTTTTTGGTTTGCGCTTAAGGCATCATAGCCATCATCAACCGTTTATGCGCTTTCAATCCTTATTTCATGTTTTTTTGTTATGATAGCATTGCAACTGGAAGTCGCATGTGAAAAATGTCTGCACCAAATTAAATAAATTTGTGTATGCACTGCGTAGAATATAGTGCGTCGCTGGGAAAGGAGCTACGCTTGCTGCATACTACGGATACATTAAATCTGTGTTGAGGTATGGTCTGTTGGTATGGGGAAACTCGACTGATATAAACAAGGCATTTATCAGTCAAAAGAAATGTATACAAGCTTTATGCAACTTCGCCCCCCTTGAATCATGTAGATCTTTATTTAAAAATAACAATTTGCTAACGCTGACTGGACTGTACATATTAGAGGTGTGTATATTTGTCAAAAAAGTCAGTGTTTATTTCATAGCGCTCGCGACAATTCTATTATAGGTAAAAAGGACCCAGCTAGATTGTTAATGTCTGCCTGCAAGACAGCTTTGTTTCATAAAAATTGTTACGTAATGTGTATAAAAGTTTTTAATAACATACCTAAAGCGATTAGAGAGTTACCAACAATGAGAATGAAAACTCACCTAAAAAATGGCTCATCCAGAAATCTTTCTACTCAATTAAGACTTCTTTGCAGATATAGTAGACGATACATTTTAGAATTTGACACAATGTTTAAATTGTGTCATACTTACAAATTAAAATTTTTATTTATTTAATTAATAAATGTGATAAATATTGAAATAAATTAATGACAATTCGATATGTAAAATTTATAATTGGCATTATATTTATTGACATAAGAACATTAATATTTGACATTGAGCTATAATAATACTTATACATCTTATTGGCAATTTATTTTTCTGACACTGTTGCATAATTAATGAATCATCAAATCAACTGAGTAATGTTAAAAAAATTTGTGTTGTTAAAAATCGATAAGTATTGGCGTATAAGTTACGGCTACTTGACTATTAATATTTGCACACCACTGAGGTAGAATATGTAGAACAAATTATAATCGAACACCATTGTACCATATTCTTGCAAATAAAGATTATTATTATTATTATTATATTATATTACTATTATTATTATAATAATAGAATAATCGATATACGCTTATGATTAACTGCCTATTTGATGTTTTGTTATAAACTAATATTAATATATTCATTAAAACTACTTTCACGGATTTTATCACATTTAATTTGAGTTATTTTTAATTCCCGACGTTTTGGGTACTTTCCAGCACCCATGGTCACGGGAGACAGGTGACTGACGTCCCGATGTCAATGTTAACCCGGAGTGCCTTCAGCTTTTTTAATTATTGTTTATGGTCCCATCTACGCAGAATGAACTAACTGTGTATTGAAGTCTTGCAGTGGTATGCTTGGGCTTCGTTTTAATCTTAATAATTACGGGGTCCCTAGTAGGTGGTAGTACCCAGCCTCCTTCTCTATTGAAATTAAGATGTTTTTTTTAAATTCAATAGCCTCACGTATCATCCTTGGTAGGAATCGTTGTCCTTTCGCGAGGATTTGTGGTCTATCAAATCTGACGTAATGTTTGGACCGCCTAGGCTATGATCACGATTTGCAGACTTCCCGGAACGTTGATTTTTTTATAGGATAGGATGACAAACGAGCACATAGTCCACTTGATGGTAAGTGGTTGCTGTGGCCCATAGACATCTACATCTATCCTCGGTTACGAATCAAAATGTAGATGTGGTGTCTTCCGGAAGGACTTGGTGGAATGCCTCGTTTCCAGTAAAAAAGGTCTCCGGTTCTCCACACTCACCATACGAAACACAGCAGCATTAAGCTACTATTTCACATTAGGACCATTAAGTTAGTATTATTGTAAGAAATTCCTAGAATAATGTACAATGGTTGATTGCCAACCATCAGGGTGATGTGTTCTTAAGCCTTCTTTGTATACCACATGACGCGCAGACGAATGCTTATGAACTATAAATAAGCTTAAAGAAGCTCAGCTAAACCCGATGAAAATATGTCAAAATATGGAGTATGCATAATAGCAGTGCTCCAAATTTACTCCAGACCTTTTATTGTATATATATTTAATCTTTGGCACAAAATCGACCTACTCAAT